TCTTGCTCATGGAGGCCAGAGGAGGACATCAGGTGTCTTCCTCCATCATGCCACACCTTATTTCTTTGAGGCAGATTCTTTCATTGAACCTGGAATTAGGTTGAGGGCCAGCAAGCTGCAGCAATCCTCCTGTCTCAGCCTCCTATAGCACGGCGCTTGTTGATGCACACACCCAGAAGTAGCTTTTTACGTGGATACTGGGATTCAAACTCAGGTCCTCATGCTTGCATAGCAAGTGCTCTTACCCACTGAACCATCTCTTGCCCAGATGGAGTATCCACGTCACTCTCTAGAACCTTAAGACCCCCTTCCAGCTCTCAGCACTAGCTTGCATGTTCCAGAACCTTCTAGGCCTGGCAAGCGTTGATGTGACACTTGCTCTTTGCTGATGGGTTTCTATCCCTGTAGACTGCCCCTGGGGTCAAGTTAGATGAAGTGCCCGCCTCATTCAAGAGTGTCGTAACAGAAATGGTAAACTTTGATCGTTTTGCCGTCAGAAATGGAACAGTTTCATTGACCGTCTTTTTCTTGTTTCTGCTTTAAATGTTATCAGTTCAAAAACATGGAGGTGATGCTTTACTGCTTTCTGTCTGTGTGTAAGCTGGATGTGGAGCCAGAGCTCTTGACTTTGTTTTGGTTTTCAGTTTTGTTTCTGTGGTGACTGAACCACGGTCTCCAGCACAACAGTCAAGAGCTCTCACATTGACCTGTCTGTCCCTCTGGCCCCTAGAATCAGGGACAGAAGTGTATACCATTCGAAGGGAATCTCTTTAAGAAAAAGATTAACAATAATGATGCTTGAGAACTGCAGGAGAGACCTGTGAGAGCGAGGGCCCCCACAGAGCAGCCCTGATAGGGGCTGACCTCTCCCTAGCCACAGATGTGCTGAATACCCCATCAGAACAGGACGTCTGCTGCAGAGGCTGAGTGGAGCCTAGGGTCGCCTTGTACAGATCGGGTCTGGGTCTTGCAATGAGAGGGCCAACCCAAAGCCAGCCCTTCACGGAAATGTAGGCCTGCTTCTTGCCCTCAGCATCTCTTCAGGTGACCTCAGCAAGGGCCCATTTAAGAAGACAGAATCACTCTGTTCCTATGCCTCAGCTCCTCCCAGCTCTGAGCAAGAGATGGTGGTAGGTGCAAAAACAAAGTGGGAAAACACACATGGGGACAAGGAGTCCCCCAGATCAAAAAGAGCTCACTGAGGAACCGAAGTGGAGACCCAGGATCAAACTGGAAAGCATCTGTGCTCAGCAGGAGAAAGAGCTATCACAGAGCCTGCATATGATGATCTAGCCTGTACTGAGCATGTGCAGGTGGACCACGAACCCAAAAGCTAACACAGAGTGGGAAGTTAACATTGGTGTCTCTGCATTTTTTTTTCAGTGTTTTGAATTATTTTTATGGGTGGATGCTTTCCTTGGTCAAGTGAGATGATAAATATATATCAGTTTGAAAGAAGGGAACACTTGGGTTCTTGATGTTCATCCATGACCCCCTTGTCCCTATGACACAGGCCTCTTTGGCACTTGCCCTGGCCCACCATGATGCCATTCTCAGATGGACTGGGTTCTGTGTGTCAGAGTCTGAGCCTGGCTCTCACCACTTCCATGTCTATCACTTTGGACACCAGGACTGCCTTGCTGCAATAGCAGCAACAGAGACCCTTGGCTTCCCTGGCATCTGGCTCTCTCTCAACAGGCTGCCTTGCCAAGAGCCCCTGAGTTCTTCCTGTACCTCCTCAGGCACAGGGATGGGCCCAGTGCCTTCTCATGTCCCTCAGCAAGTTGCCACAGTCCTCCCAGTCCCTCCTCATCTGTGTCACAGCCTTAGGTGGCTGGTCATGAAGGCTATTAAGTTACAACTGGCAAGGATGAACATGTCTCACCCCTAATGACTACCTGAAGGATAAAGCAGCTGTTCTTGGAGTAGGAAGTGTCCCTCAAAAAGAGGGCAGCTGTGCTGAGAGCCAGCAGCACTGAGGTGGAAAACCTGGTTGCCCAGTGGTCAACTGCATACAGACCTTCCCCTTACACAGACTTCCTCTCTTGCCTTTCTTCTGGGAGCCCCAACAACTCACCCCAGTTCGAGGCAGTGTGTTTGCCTTTCCCAGCCAAGCCCTTGACATAGAGGGCTCCTCACTTCAATAAGAGTCCTTCCATGTCCCTGGGTTGTGCAAGCCCTCTTCTGGCTGTCCTGACCTGGCAGCTGCTCACTGGCTCAGTGTGAGGGAGGATGGTTCCTTTACACACACACCCTATTTCCTGTCCCCACTGCCCAGTCTCCAACATGCACAGGGGTAGACAGCTACTCCAGAGAATGTTGCTTCTGTCATATTAATCCCTAATACAAATTCCTCAAGGAGACCATGTACCACACAGGTGTGTGAGAACAGATGGCATATTCTCCAGGAAGGTTGGCCATCATAGATACTCAGACTCTACCACTCCCAGGCCACATGATTTGGGTCAAGTCACTTGATTTTTCAGCCTCTGTGTCTTCATCTGTGACATGGGGACTAACATAGTTCCAATAATAATTCCAAGTAGAGACTGCCTTCCCCACAAGGTGGCTGCCTGCCAGCCAACCGCTGAAGTGCTCTCCAAAGATGCGAGGTCGGGCTTTGCAAACTGAAGCACTTCCCAAATGGAACCGACACAAGCCATGAAGGCAAACATTTTTTCATTGTACACAGGAAGAATATGGATGTGGGAATTCAGGTCTGGGCGAGTTGGCCGGACAGTGCTGGCCAGGTACTGACTGTTGGAAATCATCACCCAGGTAGCCAGAACCTATATGGGAAGGATGGCCAACAGCAGGGGAGGAGGTAGGAAAACAAACTTCTTTTCCTAGCAGTGGCCTTTTGGGCTAAGCCTCATCAGGCCCTGGTCATGATGGAGGCCAAAGAGCCCCTGTGGATTAATGAGTTCCAGGGGCAACTGAGAACTCAACTTGGTTAAAAGTGAATCCAGCCCATGAGTCATCTGTTTGGTGAAAGCTCCAAGGTGCAGCGGCCTGGAAGCCTCCCCAGGAAAGTGGCTGAGGTTCCACTTCCACCATGGCCACAGAGGCGCTCCACTGGTGAGGCTGGATGCTGCTCAGATGGCAGAGGCCATATGCTTAGCTGCCAAGTTGCCTCTGCTGCCTTTTAGACGTTTTTTAAACTATAAAACTTAAACATGGGGCTGGGGAAATGGCTAAATGGGTAAAGATCTTGTAGCACAAGCATGAGGACTTGAGTTCCAATCCCCAGCAGCCACATAAACAGCTGGTGTGGCAGTGCATGCCTGTGACCTCAGTGCTGGGGGGAGGCAGAGACAGGCAAATCCCTGGCCAGCTAAAGTACTGGGCTAGGTGAGCTCCAGGGTCAGTGAGAGACTCTGTCTCAAAAAATAAGGTAGAAAGCAATTAAGGAAGACATCAGACATTAATGTCTGGTCTCCATACGCATGTGCACCTACACACACATACAGGCAGCAGATATTCACTGAAAAAATTTAGTCTAAAACCCAAAAATAAACAATGGTCCATAAGCCTATCTCTAAAGATATGCCTCAACACAGAGTTATGGCGGCTTGTCTTTGTGTAGGCACACAAGTCAGGTCAGGCAGGTTTAGCTTTGTAACACATAGCCCCTAACTGAATGAGAATGACTTTAGCCCAGAACTGCTTATCCTAGAAGGCCAAAGTCCTATTGCCCTCTTAGATATCTGAATATGCCCATTCTTTACTTAAAAAAAAATGTCTTGGCTCTAAAGACAATAGAAACTGGAAGGAAACCTTACAATTTTTATCATTCAGTATGAGACTTAAGTAGCTTTAAGTCAGTCTTTGTCATTTTGTCAATGATAAAGATCCTCTTTTATTTTCCTTTTTTTTTTTTGGTCTTTTTGAGACAGGGTCTCCCTGTAGCCCCAGCTGTCCTGGAACTCACTATGTAGACCAGGCTGGCCTTGAACTCACAGAGATCTGCCTGCCTCTGCCTCCCGAGTCCTGGGATTAAAGGTGCGCACCACCACACCCATCTTATTTTCCTTTTTTAAGCTATTAAAAGTCACCAAAACTTGGCATTGACTTTTATTGAATGTTGCTTAATGTTATTTAAAAAAAATATTCCTGAAGCCTGGCGCGGTGGCGCACACCTTTAATCCCAGCACTCGGGAGGCAGAGGCAGGTGGATCTCTGTGAGTTCACGGCCAGCCTGGTCTACATAGTGAGTTCCAGGACAGCTCTGGGGCTACAGGGAGACCCTGTCTCAAAAAGACACACACAAAAAGACAGTTTCTTTTTAACATTTTTTTTCTTTTATTACATTAGTGTGTGTGTGTGTGTGTGTGTGTGTGTGTGTGTGTGTTTCCTGTTATATATATTTTTGAGACAGGGTCTCCCTGTAGCCCCAGCTGTCCTGGAACGCGCTATGTATACCAGGCTGGCCTTGAACTCACAGAGATCCGCCTGCCTCTGCTTCCCCAGTGCTGGGACTAAAGGCATATGCCACCACACCTGGCTATTTTCCGTATTATATTTTTTAAACCATGGGACTCACCGGGCTTTTGCTTTACTGCCCTCTTGTTTTTAAAGTGTCTGAAGGCGAGAGGAAGGAAAAATTCACCAAACCTGGAATTCAAGGCCTTAACTTAGAATGAGGAATTTTCGTGTTATTTGGAGTAATAGACCAGTGATTATAAGGAACTTTGGGATCAAATAGTTGCTCAACCACCTAGTCATTTAGTCACCAATCCCGACCTTGGTTTGTTCTGTTGAGAGGTGAACTGGGGCTATGATAAGTGTACGTGGACTGTCACCGGGCAATGCAACCCAGCAGACTGTTGTCCAGGTGGACCATTGGGCAGGGAGGGGTGCCTCAGGAAAGCCACTTTCCCATGGTGCTTTGCAAGGCACTGGGCAGTTTGGAGCTTGTAGTTTAGAGGGCTTCTGCAAGCCCAGAGCAGGAGGGTGGGATGAAACCAGGCACAACAGGTGGTGGTCTCTTCTCTCCCCAGGGCTGTCTCAACAAGCAGCAGCTTCTTACCACCATCCGCCAGTTGCAGCAGCTGCTGAAGGGCCAGGAGACCCGCTTCGCGGAGGGCATCCGCAACATGAAGAGCCGGTTGGCCTCGCTGCAGAATTCTGTGAGCAGAGTGGCCCCAGAGACGCCCCCAGGTGGGTCCCAAGTCAGCAGACTGGGGCCAGAGTACAACACTCATGTAGCTCCCCTGAAGTTCTCCCCTCATCCCTCTGCCCCCCCCAGCTCTGGTCGATATGTTAGAGAAAAAGAGAGCGCGCATCTGTGTGTGTATGCGTGTCGTGTGTATAGGCATGTGTGTGCTAGTGCCCAAGGAGCCACAGCAGAGTGTTGGATCCCCTGGGGCTGGAGTTACAGGTGGATGTAAGCCCTCCAAAGTACGTCCTGGAAACTGAATTCCAGTCCTCTACAGAGCAGCAGGTACCCTTGACAGCTGAGCCATCCCTCCACCCCCCTTGTTTTGTTTTTTCGAGGCTGAGTCTCATGTAGTTCAAGTTGACCTCAAGCTTTCTATGTAGTCAAGGAGGACCTTGAACCCCTGAGCCTCCTGCCTCTGCCTCCTAAGTGCTGGGATTATAGGTTTGTACCATGAGACCTGGCCTTTTCTTCCTTCCTTGCTTCCTTCCTTGCTTCCTTCCTTGCTTCCTTCCTCCCTCCCTCCCTCCCTCCTTCTTCTTTTCGTTTTCTTTTTTCTTTTTTTTTCCTCAATATGTAGCTCAGGCCGACCTGAAATTTAACAATCCTCCCACCTCTACCTCCCAAGGGCTGGGATTACAGAAGGACATCACCACACTTAGCTCATTTCCTCTCCTACCTTTTCATTCTAGGCTTAATAACTACCTTGCTACCCATGAGTCCATAGAATTTTTGAAATGCCATTTTGAGGTACACAGTGGACTCTGGTTTTGCTTTTGTTCCTGTTTTTGTTTTTAGCTTAACGGGCTATTTTTTAGACTGGTTTTAAGTTCATGGTATGGAAGGCCCAGCGACTGCATTCATACATCCTCCACACACACACACCCTGCCAGCATGCCACCCTTGTTCAGTCAATGAACCAACATAGCTCTGGCTTTTTAGGCCTGAAACTATGTCCTCCAGTGACTCCTCTATTAGTGCCAGCATGGCTGTGGACAAACACTGCCAAGGACAAAGCCCATGTGTCTAGTGAGGGTGCAGGGGAGCACCCAAACTCCCTCCACTGGAGGTAGAGCTCTGATTGACACTGGGCTCTTTTTCTGGCTGTCCTGGTATCGGCTCTCACACTTTCAGGACCCAGAGATGGGCACTGGTTTACCCCTGACCTGAGGGTTCAGGGGACAGGGGACAAGGCCTATTGCTATCTGACATCATTGGTTCCCTGTAGATATATTTCCCAGGGGCCTCCTTGTGTGAGATGAAGTTTCTAGCAAATTTTAGCTTCGGGCACCAAGTGGGCTCCTGTTTCCTTAGCTCCATGGGGTGGAAACAGTTCTGTCAATTAACCCTCACTTTCTAAGGTTCTGTGAGACTCCAACCTTTAGAGGAGCTCTGTACCCCCAATTCTATACAGAAGGCAAAGTCCTTCCTCACTACAGATAGGGAAACTGAGGCCAGGAGAAATAATTGACCTAGCTATTTCTTTTTTTTTTTTTTCCTACTAAAACCATGACTCCATGGAACATTCCTATTTTCATGGGATTGCAAAGAGGCACCCAGAGTCCCAGAGCCTCAGGGAACATGTTATGAACGTGTCCTGACTGTGTGAGAGGCAGCTGTCACTGGACAGATGAAACAGTGGCTATTACGTTGTCATTAGTCCTTATCCCAAGATTTGGTGGCTTTCTGCCTTGAACTATGATAGATTTTTTTAAAAGCTTTCTTTTTAAATATTTTATTCATTTTTTAAAAAAATTGTGTGTGTGTGTATGTATGCTCATGAGTGCAGGTGCCTGTGGAGGCTAAAGGTATTGGCTCACCCTACAGGCAATTGTGAACACCTCAACATGGTGCTAGAAATTGAATGTGGGTCTTCTGCAAGAAGATGGGCTCCCACCATAGATTTTAAAAGGTAGAGAATTATCATTTGAAAAAATTTCTCCCATGTGCTGCCTCTCATACTATGTATGAGTCACTGGGCTAGGTGACAACCCTGCAGAGGGCTGGCCTCTTTTAGGATACTGCTGGATGGAAGCGCCGGATCCTTCCCACTGGATCCAGATCAAATGGCAACCAGTGAGGAAATTATTTACTACCCCCAGCCTTTGTTTTAGACAGGGTCTCCTGTAGCCCAAGCTGGCTTCATACACATTATATAGTCCAGGATGGCCTTGAATGGCTTTTAACTCATGGTCTTCCTGCTTCTGCTTCCCAGCTTTTGGGGTTATAAGTATGCACCAATACACCCAGCTATGTAGTAGTTTTTTGTTGTTGTTTTGTTTTGTTTCGATCTTTTCGAGACAGTGTTTCCCTGTAGCTACAGCAGGCCTGTAGCAACAGTTGGCCTGGAGCTCACTATGTAGACCAGGCTGGCCTTGACTTCATAGAGGAGATCCACCTATCTCTGCCTCCCAAGTGCTGGGATTAAATTCCTGCACTGCCATGCCCAGTGGGATATAGGAGGCAGAGTCACAGCAGCTGGCTTGCTGCCCTCTGAGCTTCCTGAGGACTGGGCTTAGTCTGTCTTGTTCAGTGATATATCCCACGTGCCAATCTAGTGTCTGGAACACAGTAAGAACTCAGTAGATCATTTCTTTCAGTGGCCGTTTATAGAGCACTGGGCTGGGGAGGTCGCAGGACATGGGCCAGACTGAATTCCAGCAGAGAGCTCTGACAGCAGACATGGAGATGTGCCTGTCAACACGAGTCCTGCCATCGTTACAAATGCTAAGAAGAAAGCAAAGTGAACTGGGGGACAGGGGCTCATGGTGGCCAGGGAACCCTCTGGGAAGTTGTGGCAATTGATGGAAGCCTGAAGAGCAGGAAGAAGGAGCAGGACAGAAGAGGATTGCTCTACAGAAAGAAGTGTGGGACTAGGCCAAACTAGGCTGAGTCTGTTCAGGAGATTGAAGGAAACCCAGTGGAGCTGGAACTAAAAGAAAGAAAAGGCAGTAAGTGGCTGTCTCGCTGACCTTGACCCTCAGCACTGCAGTGGGAGGCCCTATGCACACCTCCATGTCTCTGAGCCACAACCTCTTTGTTTTTCACTAGGCACGCATCACATGACCCTCCTCATCCCTAAAGCAGAGGGTTTAATGAGGTGTGGCATTTAGAATGTCCAGGTCCATTCCCCGCCCCCAGCAGGCAGAGGGAGAAGTCTTGTGACATTGATACAGCCATGGCTATAGTCCAGAGGGAGCGCTTCTAACCCTTTGTCCTCTCCTTACAGTTTCCTGTCCCTCTCTGGATGCCCCTCTGGATGGCAGAAAGTTTGGAAACAAGTACTTAGTGGATCATGAAGTCCATTTTACTTGCAACCCTGGGTTCCAGCTGGTTGGGCCCAGCAGTGTGGTGTGTCTTGCCAACGGCACCTGGACTGGGGAGCAGCCCCACTGCAGAGGTATGGTCACTTCTCCCCATCCACCACACAGTGGGTATGTGTTCCTATATGTGAATTCAGGTACAGTCATGCCACATGTGGAGGTCAGGGGATAACGTCTGGTATCATTTCTTGCCTTCCACCATGGTTGAGACAGGGTCTCTCTTTTCTTGTTCATCACTGAGTTTGCCAGGCCAGCTGGCCAGTGAGCTGCCATGTGTCTACTTCCCATCTCACCATAGGAATGCTGGGACTACAGTGAGTCCAGCTTTAGGTGGGTTCCTCACACTTGCAGAGCAAGCACTTTACCCACTGAGCCATCTCTCCAACCCCATAATTTTTTTTTTTAGACTTTTTTAATGTGTTTGAGTGTATTGCCTGCATGGATGTAAGTGCACGCATGTTGTGCAATGCCTGAGGAGGACAGAAGAAGGCACCGGGTCCCCTGGAACTGGAGTTACAAATGGTTGTTAGCTGCCATGTGGGTGCTGGGATTCGAACACTGGTCTTCTGGAAGAACAGCCAGTGTTCTTAACCACCGAGCCATCTCTCCAAGGCCCTAGCCCCATGATTTTTAAAGAATTTAAAAATTTTATATGTATGAGTGTTTTGCCTGCATATATGAAAGTGAGTATACCATGTGCATGCCTGGCGCCTGAGGAAGGCAGAAGAGGGTGCTGGATCCCCTAGAACTAAAGTTAAAGATGGGTATTAGCCACCATGTAGGTGCTGGGAACTGAACCTGGGTTTTCTGGAAGAGCAGTTAGTGCTCTTAACTGCTGAGCCATCTCTCCAGCCGCAGCCCCATGATTCTTTAATCATCCCTCAGTCAAAAAATGGGGGAAAATGTGTCTGACCCTTATCTCCATGCTGGGCTTGTCTGGTCTCCATCTGAATGAGCTTGCTTTTCCATCACAACTACCTGGTTTCATTTTGCCTATAGGAGATCTGAGGCATGGAGCAGTCAAGGACCTTATACAAAGGTACCCACTTGGGGTAGATACTCTGATTCCAAAGTCTGTGCTCCTCAACAGCTCACCCTGCCCTGCATTCTTGTGATTGGTTTTGCTTGTTTTTAATTTTATTTATTTTTTTAAATTTTATGTGAATTCGTGTATTGACTGCATGTAGGTAAGTGCACTCGTGTCGTGTAATGCCCATGGAGGTCAGAAGAGGCTGTTGGATTCCCTGGGACTGGAGTTATGGACAGTTGTTAGCTGCCATGTGGGTGCTGAGATTGGAACCTGTGTTCTTAACCGCTGAGCCATCTCTCCAGTCCTGTTTGTTTTTTTGAGACAAAGTCTCATGTAACCCAGGCTGGCTCTACATTCACTATACAGCTGAAGATGGCCTTGAACCCAGGATGTTCCTGCCTTTTCCTCCTTCTTCCTCCCAAATGCTGGAATTACAGGTGGGTTGGTGATTGTAGCTTATCAGGTTTGTATTTTAGCTGAGTGTGGTGGCACACACCTGTAATGCCAGCACTTGGGAGACTAAGGCAGGTGGCTTGCAGAGATCAGTCTGGGCTATAGAGTAAGTTCCAGGCCAGCCTGGGCTACAGAGAGACCTTGTGTCAAAACAACAGCAACAGCCAGGTATGGTGGCACATGCCTTTAATCCCAACACTTGGGAGGCAGAGGCAGGTGGATCCTCTGTGAGTTCGAGGCCAGCCTGGTCTACAGAGTGAGTTCCAGGCAGCTGGAGCCATAGGGAGACCCAGGAGACAAAAAAAAAACCCAGCAACAACGAACATTGGATCATATCAATGCTGGGGTGGGAGCTGCCTAGGCTAGGAGGAGGGACAATGGGGAGGGGACTGCTGCTCTGCCCTGGGGCTACTACAGTCTACTTGTGGGGCTCCTCCTCTGGGAATTCCTTAGATATCCTTTGTGTGTCCGCAGAGACTTGATGTAGGCAGCTCCAGGATGGACTTCTCCATGATCAGTGAGTCACAAAAATGCTTCTTTTTTCTCTGTGCTATGTTTGAGAACAGAACTTTTTTGGCAAAGAGAAAGTGAGGCTTGGCACACACAATGTGTTGGCTTTTCAAAACCCCATAGACAGCCAGGCATGGTGGCTCATGCCTTTAACCCCAACACTCTGGAGGGAGAGGCAGGCAGATCTCTGTGAGTTCAAGGCCAGCCTGGTCTACATAGTGAGTTTCAGGACAGCTGGAGCTACAGGGAGACCCTGTCTCAAAAAGACCCCCCCCAAAAAAAGCCCATAGACCATAGGCAAAAAAACCCCATGGATATCAATCATTTTTAGGTGTCCAGGGGACATCTTCTGTATCAGAATGTCTGTGACTTTAGTTAGAATTAAAGGGGAAGATAAATCTTTCACAAGGGCATGAGCAGTGTGAAGGGGGATCTGGGGGTTTGTTTGAGATAGAGGTTCTAATGTTGCTCAAATTCTGAGCTCAGATGGTCCTCCTACCTCAGCCTCCTGAGTAGCAGCAAATACAGGTGTGTGTCATCGTACCTGGCAAAAGACAGGGCTTTGGATGCTTAAAAACCTCTCTCTTTTAATTTAATTAATTAATTTTTGTGGTGGGTACTAGGGAGCCCATGTACCATGCACAGGTCCAGACTGCCCTTTCCTGTCTTCTGGAAGGCACGATGGCACAAAGGTTGGCTACAGATGCCAGTTTTTAGACCTTGCTGGGAACCTTCCCAGAGATAAATTGTGTTCCATGCCAACACACCGAGAAATGCTGTTGTTGTGCTGTTGTTGTGCAGGGTGGGGCGGGGGCGTTGCACGCTGAGCGGCTGTTGGCTGGGGTGTGCGGGTTTCACGTGCTGCGCTGCTGGGCGGGTCTGTGGCGGCTGCTAGGGAAGTGCAGGCGAGTCTGCAAGTCGGCGGGGGCCGCGCTGGGCGCTGGCGAGTGCAGACTCCGCGGGGGGGTTGCAAGCTGCTGGGCAGGTTCTGGGCCAAGCTTCGGGACGCTCCCTCTGTGGACGTGATCCGTTGGCCACCAGACCACGAGGGCGGGGGAGGTGTAGGAACGGCAAAAGCAGGATCTTCGCAAGTGAATGTTGACGGAAGGACAGCCCCCTCCGGGAAGACTGAATCACAGGCTGGTCCCAGGCGCAGTGAGACACAGATACAGCTCCAGACAAGTTCAGGGACACAGCTTCGATTTATTAGGGGGAAACTAGAGAATTTATAGTGTGGTGGCAGTAGCAAAAGCCTCAGCTGATAGGTGCTCTGTAGGATGCTTTATTTACATATGGCGGTGGGCTTCTATGCTGTCAGACAGTGCCTGATTATCACATAGGAAAAACCTGGCAGTTTCTATGCCAGAGGTCATGTATCTGTGGCGGCCACTTCAAAGGTGAGTCAGGAAGAGAGTAGGAGGCGCCCTGCTGGAAAGGGGAGTCGCTGCATAAAAACGCCAAGCCCCTTAGGCTATCCGGACATGGAGAGACTGCGACCAAAACAGCAGGGGTCCCCAACAAAATGCCAGTCTCTGCCATTCACCCCTGACACTGAAGTAACTCCAGCCAGTGAAATGCCTGATGGATGATAAACAGTGGTAGCAGAGATGTGAACACAAGGCATTTTCTTTCATTGCTTCGGGCCTCTGCATTTTTAACGTCCAGACTAATGTCCGTTGCAGACGGTAGACCCTTTGTATGTCTACCCATCCTCAAGGTTATCTGCGGCCTGCTTAGGCAGGCATGTGTTCGGTGGAGGGCACCCTTGTATCTCTTTCCTTGACCTTGTCATGGACATCTGTTTGTGGTCCACCCCTGGCCACTGGGACAGTGCTCATCTCCCCACCTTCTCTTTGGATTAGGTGTCTGTATCTCTGTGGTCCAAGTCAGGGCTTTTGGCTGTACCTGCTCTTCTTTTAACTGTGAGCCACTGAGCTGCTCTACTCAGGGCTGCCCAGTGATGTACACTCTTAGTGGTGCTGTGGGAAGAAACACACTTTACCCAGGTACTGTTTTTCTTTCCTTGTTCAGATTTTATCCAAATAGTCTGTTCTTTTTTAAATATTTTATTTATTGTTTTTATTTTATATGTATGAGTGTATTACCTGCCTGTATGTGCACTGTGTCTTGCAATCCCTGTGGAGATCAGAAGAGGGTGCCAGATTCCCCTGGAACTGGAGTTACGGGAGGTTGTTAGCTGCCATGTGGGTGCTGGAAACCAAACCTGGGTCCTCTACAAGTGCAGCCAGTGCTCTTAACCACTGAGCCATCACTCCAGCCTTCAAATATTCTGTTCTTAACCATGACATTTATAGTGAAAAGCAAGTTGAGCAGAAATGATAGCAGAAAGTATGTGTTCTGAGGCAGGTTGATACAAAACGTCAAAGGCCCAGGAACATCCATATCAATTCTTTGGCTAAGTTGGAGACCCAAAGTGCTCCCTGCAGCCTAGCTCCATCTTAGATGCTTGGCAAGAATCCTTTCCCAGGGGGATGCTGGGCACACGGGCCAGCTTCCTTCTTGACCTTGACCTCGCACTCCCTTCTGCCACAGGACCCTTTCTGTTGAAGACATGCAGTTTTCAGGCACCCTAGAGTTGCACAGAAAGCATTTAAAACGCAGATGCTGAGACCTCAAAAGACCCTCTGGAGTCTTTAGAGTCGAGGCTCTGAAAATCTGCATTTTTTCATATATTCAGTAGACATTACAGTATTAACTAAAATTTGAGGTTCACCACAGTTTGCCAATGTTTCCTGGAGAACCCCTGCACAGAGCAGTCTCACCTGCCAGGCCTGACTAACAAATCTGCTGATCTTTCTCATGGTCCCACGTAGTGTGCCCCTAATTCTTACCCCCAAGCTCAGGCACTCTTCCCAGACTCGCTTGTATTCCTTGTCTTCTCTCTTGCCAGGGCCTTCCCCTGCCTTTTGAGCTTCCTCCCCGACTTCCACACCAGAGGACTGCATGATACAGCCCATCCCGGACTTCCACACCAGAGGACTGCATGATGCAGCCCACCCCAGACTTCCACACCAGAGGACTGCATGATGCAGCCCATCCCAGACTTCCACACCAGAGGACTGC